CGGTTGTTTACATACTTAAGGATATTCACTACCACTTGACCTTGACGGAAGAACCGTTGACCTCTCTGCCAACTCAAACTGCTTTTCTAAGTCAAGTGTAGACGCGCGGGTATCTACCTAAACATAGAGATATAGATAGATAGATATAGAGACAGAGACTTCACTGAATAAACAAACACATCCGGGTGTGACTTAAGAAAGTGATAGGCGGCACTTTCGAAACCGTTACGTTGTGGATTGGACAGAAGAAAGTCCGATTTTCGATCATGCATTTGAACAAAAACATTTTGTAACTCCAGCCTACACCTTTTCGGTCTTTTACAACACAACAAGCCCAAAGTCACTAAACTTTTCCGAGGCACTAGATATTCACACTCAAAATCCCAACCTATGGAAAAATGTGAATATTTGTTCACAGTAGTTTTGCCTCGGTCATTGAATCCTACCCTCTGTAATTTTCAGTGTTGTTGTGTGGCGTTATCCGTTTTAATTAGCAATCTTGTCTTCCTGCTACGGTTGCCACTTCATTGACTACAATAATGAACTTGACTTCATTATGTGCACGTGTGCATATAATCAGTGATCATACATCGTGCAAACCCTTGTTTCTGACTTCTCTATTTTAATCGTACTTTTACTGCCTAACGGAAGCATTCACATTTAACAATGATATCATCAATGATACATATATCGAAATCTGGCCCTTTCATGTACATTTTTCGAAGACATGTTTTGTATGCCTATCGATTGAACTGCCCAATCTTGTATAAATAAATATATGTTTATCCGAATTAAAAAGCGCCACAATTATCCTTCACTCCCCCACTGAGTACTGAGAAAAGTTGTTTTGGATATTTGAGAGCCCCGAAAAATGGAAGTTTCCGTGTTATATTTACGAATAATGCATTAATGGACAATACCGGCAAGGGAATGAAAATGTGATTGAATTGTCAAAAGGGCGGTCGACAAAACATTGGTTTTACTGCTTATTTGTGACTGTGGTACCTTTTAAAACTCCCGGTTTACCAGGACAACATCAACAAAACACAGAAAAGGACGAGAAGAAGAATAGAAATAGACGAATGAATATGCTTAACAAGAGGAAAGAAAAT